ACATGATGGAGCTGATACTAAGGTTAGATAAGACATCGTATATCAACTAATTGAAATCTTAATAATAAAACACGTGATTTTCTTTAGTCATAGATATAAAAAAAGAGATTGATATTAATTTATCTGCAGTATTATCTACTAATTTCTTATCTGTTATATTAAATTTTTTCTCTTTATGTAAGATAAATTCGTTATCGTATATTTTTTAAATATTTTGTTGATTCGTTTTCAAAAAAAACGTTTTTAGAAAAACTGTCGCCTTTAATTTCTTCATTTATTACTCTATACATTTTTTATTTATCACACTATCTTTTTTCTTATTTAAAGACTGCGATAATTATTTCATGTATTTCTTAAATATTTTATTTAAATATTTTCTTAAATATTTTTGCAATAAGTTGATACAAGAAATTTTATATTTAAAATTGAAAACGAAATATTATACCTTTAAAGTTATTTTTATTAATCTGAGGATATCCATTGTTGATCTGGATGATTTTTTTCTGTTTTGACAGAAATTGTCGGGTATCCATTTTTTTAAAATTTCGGATTTTTATTTGAAAGCGAGAGAAAACCTTTTGCAACAATCTACTCGATTGAAATTGCGCGCACGGACAAGATGTAAAAATATATATACGCGCGTATCCCGAAGCCATACAATTTGTCAGTAGGTAAAGCGATACCTGGTTGTCAGATGTTTTCCGTTTTTTTCTTTTGCATACTCATTGAATTAGTTCATAACGTGTTGCGTCCACGATTCATTCATTAGGTGAAGAATGGGTAGACAAACACGTGCTACACAAGTACCAACATCAATACGGTGTAACGGAATCTCTTGCAAAAATATTAGACGTCAAAAATATCTTTCCCAAAGTTATTTTCGAAGCCAGACTACAGATGTAATGAGATTTGCAGATTAACTTTACCGATCGGCTCGCAATTCTAACCTCGTCTCGACTATCAGTTTACATAAGCTTCTTTCTAGGCACTCGCTGAGGGATATTGATTCCAACTCAATACGACCTTTTTTCCAATCAATATATTATTATTTACGAGTCTTTTAGACAATGACCTTTTTTAATTATAAATTATAAAATTCGTGATAGAGAATTCAAAGGTTAGAACATTTTATGACGGTAATCATAGTAAATTAATGATTTTTTCTTTTAATGGCGACCTTATTATTTTTTTAGAATAAAACAAAACTACTTCCTTTTTTCTAAACGATTTGAAATCGCTTTTCAAATGATTAACATATTTAAGTAACTACATAAGGGCAATGAGCCTAGCACATTGTCGGTGTTCAAACTGATTATATATATTGTTCACAATTTACTTTACATATAAATCTCAATACTCTATTACGAAGAATCACGATAATTGTATTGTAATCTAACTACGTTTAACTGACGAATGAAGACAAGACCGTTTTATATAGAAGCTTATGTGAATTTGTAAGCCATTTGTCCACTGAGGACGGTTCTGTGAGAACCGAAACGTTTGGAAGTTTATATGTAAAGTAAATTGTAAACAATATAATCTTAACAATATAACTTTGCACCGACAACGTGCTAGGCTCATTGCCCTTATCTCAATCAGCAGACAAAAAAAATATTAAAAAAATATTTTTTTAATATTTTTATTTAATGTAAAAATATTAAAACGTGTAAAACGATACACATGAAAATAATAATTCTGTGTAAATTACTATAAGAGAAACGTACGTTTTCATAATAAATATTTTAAATAATCAAGTAAGAAATGCCTTTTCTATAATATGAAACAAGTTTGGACATAAATACAATGATCACATTTATAAAAGTCAATGTTCTTCTGGTCTATACATTCAAAATGTGCCCAACCCTTACATGAAACACAATGAATCCATGCCTCATTTGGTTTCTGAACAAATAATGCACTTAGTGAGATTACTTTTTTCACCATGAGATTTGTTTTTAACATTTTACTAAGCCTACAAATAAAAACTAAATACCAATATGAAATATTGAGATTTGTATAAGATATTAAGATTTTTTCTGAATATTAAGATTTTTCCTTTGTCCGATACTGGGAAAGTTGCTATTGTCCAGTACTGAGCAAGCCACATTTCATAATGTACCAAATCAGTCTATAATCTTTTCATGCTTTTCAATTGTTTTACTTTATTATTGTAAGTGTGTATACTTACTCTACCTGACAAATAAAATAAAACAAATAAATACTAAATAACTCACCAGGCAAGACATCAGATATGGTAGAAAAATATCAAGAGCATTGATCCAACAATCAGTATACCTTCACTCATAACTTTTAATTGGCTGAACAAGGAAGCGAGAAAACTTATTATATGTTTCGCAAAGGCAATAGCTTGTTTAAATGAGCACTGTAAACAACTGCCATCTATCAGCAGTAAAGAGATATTAACATCGTTCGTACTGAGAGTACCTACTTCCCCTATCATTCCAGCAACATTGCAACGTTCCAGCAATGTTGCAATAACATTATAGAAATATTGTTACGAGTTTTTGTGCCGTATTTGTAATATGATCAACATCTCTTTTTCTTTAATTTCTTGAGAACATACATAAATTTATCGATAACCGAGTTAAAATCTGATCAGTTAGTTAAAAAATTTCTCTTATCTTAAAAATACATTATTTTAATGAAATTAAACTAGCAATTTAATTATTTATCATGTTGTTTTGAAATGCTTGTCTAACAATGATATCCATATATTATACTTAAGTTTACATGTTTCAAAGCAATATTTTGTGTTACCCGCTCTATAGTCTATACTCCTACAAAATTTTTGTTTCACGTTACGTCGATACTAATCAGTGACCTATAAAGCACTTGATAAGAATCTTAAGTTCTCTGCATTAAGTTCGACCCACATCTCGCTGTGTCTCATAAAACTCGCCATAATAACACCCCAGAGTTTCTAATCTATTCTAGAGGATACCTGCTCACGAGAATCGGTAAAACGACAAGAATACATGAAAAGAAAAGTAACACTACACAAACAAGCGTATAGATGCGTGGCGTCGACCGACTATATGCGCTGGCGAACATCCAAAACTCCTCAACGACCGAGGGCGACGACGCTCGGCTGGCACACTATATTTAAGTTGAGGATCTTTGCACGCGGAGGATGGCCGCCGATCTCGTGCTATGCTGTCAATATAAACTAAATACTATCGTGATTTACGTAGTTCTATTTTGATAACAGATCTTTTGGGTAAAAGCATTTACGATAAAGGATTTTCCGGATTATATTTAATCAATCTCAATGTTCAAAAGAGATAAATGGTAGTTCTTTAGTAAATCGAGTTACCATAAAAACGTCTAATTTTTTTATATAATGAAGTTGAAGTATCGAAATTGACGTGTGCAAAATTTTACGGTAGGCTAACGATGAAATAAGAGAGAGAAAAAAAATTTGAAAATGTAATTTTTCACATATAATTTAGTGACAGATTAGGCTCGAAGATGCTTCTTTGACTAACTGCACACAAACCATAGACTTTTCTCAAAAATGAGATTGTAATAGTTAAAAAAGTTACGATTTTAATGCACGCAAAAAAGTAATAAATCAACGGCTATTCTGGAAAGTTATTTACATAAATTATTTACATAAACCTGCATATAAATTTAATCTCGAAAAGTAAATATAATCTTGTTTTCATTCGATGAAGATGCAGCTCTTGATTTACTATCTATCGTATATTTATAATCTTTCGAAAACAAACACGTACGTTTATATAGTACGTTAAAACCATATAAAATTTATAGGTAAAATTTGAATTCAGATATACGACATACAAGTAATATGTGTAAACGAAAATGTGAGAAATTGGAATATTTTCGTATGATTTTTGCCACAGAAATTAAATTTCCCTGAAAAACTATGCGTATCTCGAAAGATAAATTTTTTATCGAATAATCATCTGCTGTCCAAAATCAAGAACAAGATATTCAAATACTTCCGTACATCTCTATATCAACGAAAAACTTCTTCGATTTTATTAACAGAGAAATAGAATAAAACAAAGCAGTATCTAAATTAAAATTTTTTTAGTAGATGCATAAAAATGTTGATACTTTAGGTACGAGTTTCCTTGTAGAAATTTGAAAAATCTGTCAGAGCAACATCTAGCTTCCATTATAATAAAAAAATAATAGAAGAAATGTATTCCGTCTAACAATATATCCAGAAATGAAGAAAATTTTCTATATATTTAAGTGATGAATATTACCCGAATATATTTGAATTTAATTTACACTGTTAAGTATTAAAGGATCAAATTTAACATATTATTTTTAACTTCCAAATACGTCAGTGTATTATTTTAATACAAAATGTTAAAAAAAACCACATCTAATCGACCCATTTTTCTGGTTGAATTGCTTAATTTTAAGGTAAACAGCATTCATATTAACGTATGCATTTAGTAAATAGTAACTAAACTTAAGTCATTTAATACATTTCTTGAGTTAAATTGTTTAACTCCATTGTTTTAGTTAAATTAACAACAATTGAGTAGGAACAATAGCGATCTATAGAACTGATTAAAAATAACTCAAATTAGATATATGTATAATTTAGTATTATAAATTTAATAATATAAGCATCAGAAATTCTCGAATAATTACCCATATACATCCAGATTCTCAGTAATTTCCAGTTTAACCATTGTCTCCGCATCAAATTATCCGGATAATATGCTCGGGGTGAACGATGATATTGACAGTACGGCGTGCACCTCTTCCACGCGGCGAGCTGCATCATCCGCATAACATTCGCACCTCGGGCCAAAAACTCGGACCGAAAGCTCGGTCACAAGCTCGACTTGAATTCAGTGGCCGCGGGCACGTTGGTCCGGTTGGTCCGATCTATTTTGTACCCCGTGCAAGAAGAGTCGATCTCGAGAGTAGCCCGCGAGACTCGGCGGCGTGTACGCGTCCGTTAAAAGTGCGTGTTACGTGCTGCACGTGCCAGGATGTCGTCGAGCTGTTTTCTTCACGAGCCGATCCACCCGCCGATAGATCTCGGCGATCAATCCGACACGTTCAAGGTGGAGTGGCCTCCTTGGAAAGGGAAGCTTTCTCACAGTCACGCAATTACGTGCGGTGGTTTGTCCCATTTATCTAGAGATCGATTGTGTATCTTAATCTATGAAACGAGGTAAAAATTATAGAAATGAGCACATTCACTAAGTATTGACCAATAAAATTATATACGGAAAGAACGGTTTTGCTGAAGTATATAAAAATTTTACTACGTACAAATCTGAAAATAAATTTTGTTGGACTATCAAAATAATTATAGGACGTTCAAATTGGTTGCTAAAATGTTAAAACTTTATGCAGCATTGCTCATCATGTTTAAATTTCCTATGTAATTATTTTGATGATCCAACCAAATTATTTTCAGGTTTGTATTTAGCTAAACTTTTTGATACTTCAACGAAATTATGTTTTTTCCGTATAAATATTTTAATAAATTTTTTATAATTTTCATTGTGTGGTACATAATCGAATCTTTGGTACGAGAACCCGATTGAACATTGTGTTTTTCGCAAATTATGAGATTCTTTGTAAAATAGAGAAATCTCCATGGGGATTTTCATTCATCCCTTCTGTGCGAAGTCCGCGGAAATTGTACTTCAATAACATTTGGTAACAGCGACTGTTCCTCTTCGTGAAACTATAAGTGGGTCGTCCAAGTGCGTTTCGTGACAAGAATCGTAGAAACGAAACCAGTGCGCTATGATTGCACGCATTTTAACGTTATTGATTTTCGAAGAAGACGAATGATCGTTGTTATGCTCCGTTTCGTCGATATTACATTCCGATGCGTAAAAAATTTACGTCAATCAAAGAAAGTTATTCCTAGTTTAAATATATGTTAAATAATTAATTAAATATAATTAAACTAATACTTACGCGCAATTTTGTTCGTAAGTATAATTTACAATATTAAATATAAAAAAATTAAATGCAATTTACAGTAGAGCAGTGTAAATTATACGTATTATTTAATATGTTAGTGTAAATAGTTTAACGTACATTCTTTGAGATAAATTACAATATTAAATTACGCATACTATAAAATATTATGTTTCATATCGTGACAAGAATCTTAATACTAACTGCTGTTTAAGTAAATGATTATGCGACTCATTCGTCATTTACAATTATACTAACGGCATTAAGTTTTCTTTCAGTTATGCCACAATTATTGGACGTTGATGTAAGAATGCCAGTCATTTAAGCACATTTGATAATGAAAGTGTATAATGTAATAGTACATCACAATAATACAGACACATTACACTTGACGTAACAATTATATGTATACGTATATATTTATTTATTTATATGTATATAATACATATGATATATTTATTTATTTATATTACATATACTATATTCCGCTTATTTTTTTGTTAAATATTTTATATCACGAATACAATACGCTGTATTTGGTGCACAAATAAATTAGAAGCCAACCATAAAAAAATGTAAATTTAAATCTTGCATTTGTGCATAACAAGCAAGATATCATTCATTAAATCGAAATAAGAAGCTTGTTATCTTTTAATCTTTTGTTCGTAAATATGATTTTTTAAATGGCAATCTGTCGAAAATATTTTCCGATGACATTGCTTTCTTTCAAAATATTCGCGTTTCGTAAATCTAGTTCCTAGGAAGTGATTTGCTTCTCGTTCTCCTAATTGAAAAAATGGATATTTCAACACAAAAAGAAGCTACAAAGATACATCTGCTATTTCAACGGCTCCTTGTATAGGTACGGTGACCATACGTCCTTTGTACGCTAAGTATCGTTCTTGATCCACAGAATCTGGAAATTCCGTGGACTCTTACAACTCGTTATTTAATGAACTGTAACGGATTGGTACATAAGAAGATATGATAAATCAAACAGAACGATACTTAGCGTACTTGCATTTTTTTGTTTTATATATTAAGAAGTAGTTTGTTTAAAATGATATATTTTTAATATGTGACTCTAAACACAGTTTATGAAATATGATAATTTTGACTTTTACACTGAGGATAGCCTAATTTAAGGCCGAAACGACTGTATTGTAATTTAATTTCTGAGATATGTAAACCTTTTTATCTTTATATTAAACAAAAATTGCCAAAAAAGATCGTGCGTATGTAGTAGATGCCCTACATTTTGCTGTTTTAATTTGGACCACGTATTATTGATTATTTATTGTCCTCTACTGTCCTTTATTTTGACATTATAGGAAATTCTTTTCTAACTAGCGTTCCAACGTCTATAATATCATCTATTATATCAATGAGCAAATTTTTACGGAAAATATCTTACAGTTTTATGCATATAAATACAATTTTTTTTTATTAATTGCATTTCTTAATTTTTTAAATTAAATTTATTCAAACTAGAGTTGTTTTCATTTTTTATTATTTCGAACCTTTTATTATTTCAGATCAAAGGTTTGTTCCAATACAGTCGAACCAGTTTCAAACTATCAGAAAACTGTCTCTATTTAAATCTCTATTTAACTATACTGTGCAATAAAATGTTATAATGCACAAATTTTTGACAATCGCAAACTGTTTTAAAAATACGTAGGGACAAAGCCCTAAAATTTTCAGATTTATCCTTTATTTTCTTTAAGAAAATATGATCACCGTATGTATAAGGGACGTTTCGCGAACGGTATGTGCGTCGGGAATGTGGGTGGTTCGACCCGTTCGACGTCGTCGTTGCACAAGCACGTCGATGAAGCCCGAGAGCATGGAGCCCACGTTCGGTCGGTCAGTGGCGGAGATCGATATATAGGAAACGTGCGTGTGTATAACGCCGCGGCCGTCCTTTTACCTGCGCCCTTTCGTCTCGCCGCAATCGGCCGTCACGCCGCGTAATCAGCTGCTCCGCACGCGACGCGTCGATATACGCGTGTGCGTGTGCCCGGTTTAAATTTAGTGCCGCACTTGCCGCACATTCGGGATTATGTAACGAACGTGTGCCGGATGTGTTTTCACGCGACTTTTCGTCTCTTCGCAGGGCAATGAGCACATCCGGATGTCCAAATTCTGCAAGGAGGGCAAAGAGGGCAAGTTCGTCACGTTCCTTTACGAGGATGTCCGTACCCTGTACGAAGGCTTTCGTCGCGGTGCCAAGGAGTCCAGTAAGTCCTTATCTTCCAGGGCTGGAAAAAACCCAACCTAGTGGATATTTTGGAGGTTTTGTTGGAGGTTTTATTGGGATTTTTTTAAATAAAAAATTGATTACTTAATATTTTTTCATTTAACATTGTATTTATAGTGTACATTGTATTTATTATTATTTAATTACATATTCAAATAAAATTAATTGTCAGAACGAGAATAATATTTTGTAAAAACATTAATAATGAATTTCAGATATAGAAAACGTTTCTATAACACAAAGGAAGAAATGATGACATTACATATTATGAACTATATGTTAATATTTACATATTTGAATATTAAACAGAGAAATATTCAAATATTAAATTATTAGTTCTATATACACATATTTATTAAATATTTATAAATTCTTTTTATTTGTTTTCGATTTAAAAATTTATTTTCTTACAATTCCAATAAAATCCAATAAAAGTCAAAAAATCCACTGGGTTTTTTGGGTAAAATAATACCCTGTTATCTTTACACCAAAAGGGCGATTGCTTAAGTATTTAAAAATTTAACTAGATATTTGAAAATAGTTTTATTGCTCAAAATAATTATATAGGATGCTCAAACTAATTCCTATAGAATGTCAAACTTTTTGCAGTATTGCTCATTATGCTTGAAATTTCGCGTAATTATTTTGATAGTCCAATAAGATTTATTTTCAGATCTGTATTTAGCTACATTTTTAGTAAAATACTTTAGCAAAATCATTCTTTCCGTATTTGGTGAACAAAATTCTGATATTATCTCTTATAATATCTTTAAAAATTTGTAAAATTTTTCGAATTTCGCAAGTTTTCTTCAAAAATTATAGAAATGAGAAATATTAGTTACAACATTGGAAAATTTACGTGAAGACGAGTGTTAAAAATTCTAGCCCTTACGATACAATACACAACTTTAACGTTATAAATCTGAGCATTTGGGATCCGTCCACCTTTTTCACCTGTTTAAAAGGATTAAAAAAATCTCTAAACGTTCATGAATATACTTTCAAATTTGTAGAACAAATGTCTAAAGTTTATTTTGAAAAATAATAAAATGAATAATGAATGCAGAATCCATCGAACTTGCAAGAAACTTATGTTAGCAAAACTCGGTTAGACACGAAATATTCAGTATTGTAGCGCAAGAGTTAAAGAGGAGAATTTTCTCAGCATTTTTGAAATGTGTTCCAATTCATATAAAAAATCTGACAAATTTTCTCAAAATTACAAAATTATAAAACTATGCAAAAATTCTGACAAATTCTGAAATTTATATTAAAATTTTGAAAAATTATATTAAAAATGCTAAGAAAAATTTTTACTAAGGGAATCAAAAGCTCCCTTAATCTTTGGAGGTAGAAGAAGAATCATTTACGAACATTAATTCAAATTAGAGTTTAATTAACGTCACTACTTATTCACGTGTTAATATTTAATGCTGATCGAAAAAACTAATATTCGGCACGCGGCTGCAGGAAACATCTTGCAAATCCGCCATCAGTCGCGAATGTGCGAATCCGCGTATAAGATCTGCGGAAGCGACCTTGGCGTTGACGCGTTTGTACACCCGCAAATTTACAATTGCGTGTGTCGATTTAGCGGCTCGTTTGGCAAACGGTGTGGCACAGTCGCACTACGTAAAGCGAAATAAACAAGCGCGCGCAAGTAGCTTTTTAACGAGCGCGCGAACTACGGATGGTGTTAACGACGGCGACGCATCGGCGCGGATTATAGTGGTGACGGCGATTTGCCTTTTCGCCTCCGTTGGCGATTCGACGACCTTTCCGACGAAGGTTAACAGTCTATTTTGGTCCCATGTGTATCTCTTATTTTTGCCGCGCTGCGTAACTCACGCCCGCGTAACCGACACCTGTCGCTGCAGCTCTCTACGAGACCTATAACGGCGATAGCAAACAATAACGACAGACGTGTCCGAAGATCGATAATCTTGCTGAAGATGGTCCGCTTATAACCCGGCGATCGCACGAGAAAATCGCTCATGAATATTTGTCCGGTATACGCTATTGCTAATTCTTCACTATCCTAAAGTCCTAGGTCAACTTGAATGCGTCTTTGGTTGTTCCGAGAACAGTGACATGTGCACGGGAAGAACACGGAATTTATGCGAATAATTTGACCGAAAAAATACTTGTTTCTATGTTAGGCTCAAAACTTTTCAAACAATAACTCTCGTATGTCCATTGTACTTTTATAAATATTCAAGATTGCTTTCAATACAATACATAGTATATTCACTTGTAAGAGAAGTGTTACTAAATTAATTCTTGATTAATACAAGCGTTCTTTTAATTCGTAGATAACGGTCCCTGTCTGGGGTGGAGAGACGGACCGAACAAACCATACCAATGGCTTCATTACAACGAGACGTTGCTCAGGGCGAAGAATTTTGGTTCCGGCCTAGTGTCCCTGGGGTTGACCCCTGGTCAACAAACCTTAGTAGGCCTGTACAGTCAGAATTGTCCCGAGTGGATTCTCACCGAGCAAGCGTGCTATTCGTACTCGCTCGTGGTGGTGCCATTGTACGATACCTTGGGCCCTGATGCCTGCGCGTTCATCATAAATCAGGCTGACATTAATCTGGTGGTATGTGAAGATGACCAAAAGTGCAATTTGCTCCTCGACAAAGCGCCGAGGTACGTGGTGACGTTAATCTCCTTTGAAATATGCACGGAAAAAACATCTTTTAGCCACTACATCAAATTAATTGCTTTGTTATTGTTAATAATCATTAATATCATTAATATAATCATTAATATCATTGATGATCATTAATTTAGAAGTACTCTGCGCTTATCTCTACGAAATACTCTCTCTATTTGCTTATCTTTAAATAATCGATTTTCTACATGTCACACTAAGAAAAATCTTTAGTTGAAAATGGAAGATTTTGATTATATTAATTAGAATTCCGGCTATCTTAATTAGAATTTAGTAGATTTAACCAGAAAATTTTTATTCGTCTATTTTCAACTAGAATTCCAATTAATCAAGATACTTTTTTCAATGTGCATTTTTAGTTGTTTGTTATTTATTGTTTGAAAATTCAAGCAACATGCAGACATGCGGTTGTACTTAATTGACACTCCTCTGAAAATTTCATTTCGCACGACTGTCACAGTCCACCTACACCGATGTTATTGATTATTGACGGAGTCACGCGCTTAAGAATAAAATACCTCTTAATTTAGCATGTCAATAGAAAGGACTCGTAATTTAGTTCATAATTTAATATGCCAAAATATTGATTTCACGATGATGTCAAATAATTCACGTGTAAACGTATTAATGTGTAAACGTACTAAATTAGGTAATAAGGTAACTTCTCTCTTAAGTGATTAGAAAATCATTACGAACAACTATTATCATCTAACGCTCGTGTGTAATAATACTCATAAAAGAGAAAAAATATCACAAAATTCATTTATTTTTAAAAATACATATGTTACCAGATCATGTCCTTTTAAACATTATAAGAGATTAGAAAACCATTTTCAAAGTGGGTTTTGGTGCTTATAGTAATGTTCATATATGTGAATGTATAATACAACTATCAGTTCCATAGATATGCGCCGATTTGATTTGTCAGACTTGAAACACAATCATAAACTGAAATACAATCTCAATTAAATTAATTAATCGTCGATGTAATAATAACATCACTAGCATCTTAAAAATCTGTAAATATATAACTTATTGCAAAAAATATCACCTCGGCCAGGATTCGCGAATCCGGATCTCCCGAATTCTGTGTGGGCGTTCTTCCAACTTGACCGCCGATGCATGTGACAATATTAATCGCAATAACCAGTATATATATGTGGAAGAATGTCTTTTTCAGGCGACACAATGCGATAAACGATATTAAATGAAATAGACTGAGAAATTTCTATTTCACTTAATATGTTTTTGATGAATATAGGATCTATTATTTTTTTTTACAAATTTTTTCCACATGACGCAACACGCGAGCCGGAAGCCAGATACAGTTTATACGTTCCAAGCGTCGGTTTCCTCGAAGAGAGAACGCTCTCAGGGCCACCCTCGAAAAGAGCTTTAAAAGCGTGCGATGTTGAAAGTGTTAATCTGTAACGCTGCCAAGAGCTTAGGCGATACGAAGGGGAGCGTTCTCGGCTGAAGAATCACGAACGGCGGTTTTCTCTGAACGATTCTCGATCTCGACAGATGTTTACGGAAGCTGGTGGTGGTGAAGGAGACGCGGCCGGCGACGAATCAACGGGCGAAGAACCGCGGCATCGAGCTGTACAAGTTCGACGACATTGAACGCCTCGGCGCGCAGAAGAACCATCCGGAGATGCCGCCGAACCCGTCCGATCTCTGCACAATATGCTACACTTCCGGTACCACCGGCAACCCGAAGGGCGTAATGCTGACGCACCAGAACGTCATGGCGTCTAATTGCGCGGTGATAATGCAGCTGGGTGATCACGGGATCACGTCCAAGGACATAATGATCAGCTTCCTCCCGTTGGCGCACATGCTGGAACGTTGCTGCGAGAACAGCATGTATATGATGGGCGGTTCCGTCGGATTCTACAGTGGTGACATCAAGAAGCTTCCCGAGGACATGAAAGCCCTCCGGCCTACCGTCATGCCGGCTGTGCCTAGACTGCTGAATCGTGTATATGACAAGGTGAGCGATGGAGATTTTCATTGGCGACTCCTCTCAATAAACACTAACAGTAACGTATAACATCAATGTTATAATTTTACACTCAACAATCTAAGATTTACATACAACATGTTTTATTACATATTTATCTTTATATTGTTAAATGTTAAAACTCAATTAAATTTAAACTTAATTAAAATATTGATGTTAGTTGGTGTTTATTAATTGAATAAAATTAATTGAATAAAATCTCGAGGAAAGGAAAGAAAGGGGAAAGTTAAAAAAATTTATCTCATTATACATATACTCCTATTTAGAATAAAAGAATAACACGTTGCTAAAAAAACGAAAGAAACGGCCTTTTCCAAAATCGGAAAAATATATACAGTTAGAATTTGACACATTTAATACATTTCATGTATCCCAAACAATCCATCTAAATTTTTGTGTTAACATAAGATGAATATATTTAGCAATAGTATAAATATTATGTAAAAAATTTTAAACACAAAGAATAATAGAAAACAAATAATATGTATAATAATACAAAAAAATGAAATACTGACATAATTTGTAAGCAAATTGTGACAGCTTATTTTTTCAATAAAATTAATATGTATAATACGTTAAATTAACATATTTTATTTATTTATCTTAAATTAACATTTTGAAATATATTATTTTTATGTTAATTGACTTATTTATAAATAATGTTATTTTAATGTTGAACATTAATTTAAGATAAAATGTCCAAATATATGTACCTATAACATAATCATATTATATTAAAACTCGGATATCTTAAAAATTGAATGCAAAATTTTAATACGAACTGTTTTCAACACAAATAGAAAATATTTTTCATTATGTATCTCATTAATTTACACACGTTAAATTTTTAAACTCTCTTACTGCTCTCAAATAAAAAAAAACAAAGCAAAAAGATGCAGAAGAAACGGTTTTCCATAAAAATCAGGGAAAAATACAGGAATGAAACGTACATCGTTTGTTTAATGAATCAATGACTCATTAATAATGACTTTTTATGGAGAAAACATCAAGTCCTGAAATCACCTCACGTTTGAATCGTATAATTGCGTTGCTGTTTATCATCGCGTTTATTTCAAATGGTTTATTGCTGTTGTCCGCGTGCATTCTATGCTGATCTGTAATATTTTATTTTTAGTAAGTTCGCATTTACTCGGCTGGATTGCGGGATAAACCCGTCTCACACTATAATATCTCAAGAATGTGGTTAATGAATCCATCCGTCCTTGTTTAGATCGCAATAATAGGGTACCTCAAAATATTATTTACATAATATAACATTATAGGTTTTAATCTCATATAAGCGGTAAATGCCGTAAGTTATATTCTAAATCCATCGTATATATTGATTTTCCTTATTAGATAATCCATCGCGCTTTCGCGACCGATGACTGCGTATTTCACCTATTTTTAAAACCAGGGAGTTGTCGTAGGGTGTTACTACGTCAATCGTACTAAGGATCGTCAATCTTTTTTTTCTCGACCTAAAATGGCTGCGAACAATCGTTCTCTTATATTACACGGCCGGGCAAAATGTCAATGTCGTTATAAACTCCTATATAGAAAACAACGACGCCTTCACAGATGTTGTGGGCATTTATTTCTTCCAAATATTTGTCTTTGAGCATTAGAATTAAATAATTTAGAATAGTTCGTGTATACTTACGCTTGCATAATTGGAGTTATTTGTATGTGATTCATTACACTGTCCGCGACGAATTTAAACTTTTTTCTGGATCATGAATATTAGGACAAGTGATTCTTATAGATTTTTGTTCGTTGAAAACGAATCCGTAAATAAAATTGCTCTATCACGTCAGATTTTTGAGAAAATTGATGCTAAATGTGCCAAAAATGACAATTTTAGGTCCTTTTGAGCTGAAATATCTAAAAAATGTGATGTGATAGAAGAATTTCCTTTACAGATTTGTTTTTTTTCGCAGCGACAAAAAATTATAATAATCACTTAGTTCCGTTTATGGTCTAAAATTCGTGTCTGACATTGTTATTAATTCAAGTTTTATTTCAACTTTGACACCAAATCTAAACGTTGCTCTCATAACACCCGCATACAAAACGCTAATGACGTAACATTACACATATATAACATCATCAATTGTTTACAGTCCCATGCAATTAGGGCTGCGTTTCCGAACGCAGCCTATATAAGCGGTATACTCTACGCGTTTCTTCATACGCTGAAAATTAAAAGTATCATTCGGAATTTCATTGTCTCTCGTATTCATCGATGACAGCTCTTGATGTTCTAATGTTTCTACACACAGAAAGAATGACTTTGGTGAAATATTTATTAAAAGTTTAGCTAGATATATAGATTTCAAAATAATTTTGCTTGGACCATCAAAATAATTATCTAGGACGCTCAAACTAATTGCTAAAATGTTAAAACTTTTTGCGGCATTCTCATCAACGCTTATTTGTTGTTAAATTCATAATGTCAAATCATATTCAATTTGAGTTACTTTTAATTATTCCTATAGGTCACTGTTCCTACAAAATATGTAGTTAATTTAATTAAAACAATGAAGTTAAATAATTTAACACAAAAATTAATTAAACTCAAGATTATTATTTATTAAGTATCAATACGAATGCTGTTTAATTTGAAACTAAATTCGACCATATAGAAATAGATTGATGTAATTGACTTTTAATCACATAAAATACATTTGGCACACTTGGAAGTTAAAAATAACAAAATGTTATTTAACTTAAGGAGTTAAATTTGATCCTTTAACATTTAACAGTGCATATTTGCATAATTATTTTGTCCAACAAAATTATTTTTAAAACTGTATGTAATCAAATTTTTAGATACTTTTTAGAACTTTTCTAGAACTGTCTCTTCCATACATGAGAAATAATCTTGAGAAAACGTAATGTAGTGATTTTCTTTTATCTTCAATTTCTTTTTTATTTACATTATTAATCTTTGTGAAAAATAAAAAGATTAATTTGTAAAAATAAAAATAAAAATTTAATTTATATCTTTTATCCTTGAAAGCTCAAATACTACGGATGTTTATCGTGAGTTAGGGATTCTAAATCACGAAAACGGAGGAAATAGACGCGAAATTGATTCCTGACAATGTAACTCTGAGGACTGTTTGAATGGGACACGCGCGTGGAAGCGGAAGATCACAAGCGTATTATTGAATTATGTTTTCGTGTGTCGTTTGTTGCGCAATGATGCTCTCTCATTAAATTCGAAGTTTTAAAAAGCATCCGAAATTTGGGGACGAAGCCAACAAGAACGATCACACGTTTTCAACGCGCACGTGTACGATGACGCGTGTAACAGGTGCGGCGGATAAGCAGTAAGCACCGGTCGCTTATGCTGACTTTGCATAAAATTTGATAGACAAGTCACGTAGAGATCTGTGCGATCGTCTCACTTTAACAAAAGACAGAATGGATAATTCGTCCCACTTGACTCTGTTTCTTTTTGCTGATTGTGAAAATCTGCATGACATACTTAAATCCATTTATCGTCGTTTACCGGTAATCTGTTGACAGGACCCGTTGATATCGAACTCAGTCGCTACTTGCTGTTCAAACAGACTTTTCTTTGCCTTATAATAACCCGCTTATATTAAAATTTATATTTAATAATTTATATTTCATAAGGCTCGTCTAAATATAATATCAAAATGCAATGATGCACATTTTAATAACATGGAAGAAGACATTACACTCGTTAATGTGAAAGAATATATACAGAAAATCAAACACTGCTTAGCACATTTCATATAGTATTTAAATTTAGATTTTAATGAAGTAACAGTGTGACAGTAGCTGCCAAGTTAGAAACTACTAACAATAAGATAGCTAATAAAATATGATTTTTAGTATTATATCGTTAGTTTTGTATTTACTCATAAATTGCGTTATTTTAATTATTGTGTTATTTTATTTGTTATTTCTTATTACATATTTTATATGTAATATTGCATATTTTGAATATTATTATTTGATGGCTAACGTGGATCTTGCGATGTATAGCGTGGATCATTTAATGGTGAGTTTCATCCTCATTCGACGTTCGCAGGTGCAAGCCGAACTGCAAAACTCATTTCTGAAGAGGATGATCTTCAATATGGGCATGCGAGCAAAGGAGACGGAGATCAAGAAGAGCATTGTGAGGATGAACAGCATGTGGGACAAGATTGTATTCAAGAAGATCCAGGAGTCGATGGGCGGCAGGCTAAGGCTGATGCTCGTAGGTTCGGCGCCGCTGGCGGGGAACGTCCTCACGTTCACCAGGTGCGCCCTTGGCTGCGTCGTGGTCGAAGGCTACGGTCAGACAGAATGCACCGCGCCAATAACGCTCACCATCCAGGTTTGTATATTAATAATCGATTCTTGGAACTGTTCTCGCGATTTTACGGTCACAAATACTAATATTTCCACGTATCAGCGCTTGCGAAGCTTTCAGAAAGCGATTAATTATCACTTGCGAAAGCACTTTCTAAGTGTTTGACAGGTCGCTGTTGTGTTATGAGATTTATAGAATGAAATATATAAAAACGAAGAGAGGAGCGCGAGAAATACACAGGACATTCATATATAAGACGATGAAAGGGCAAGATATATAAAGGTCTAAAATATACAAAGATTCACGTTGCATACGGAACCCATACTGTTCAATTAATCGACTGAAAAGCTTCGTGAAATCGAGCTTTATGGAACTCACGTAGCACAGTCTACAAAGCGCTCAGAAAGAGTTTATGGCATAGCTTTACAGGCGCTGCTGTGTTAGTGGTTTCCATTATTCGATTCTACATTTTAAAAACTATCGATATTGATTAGCACATCATGCGGTGTCTATACATAATTCTCACTGTATTGGTGTTAATATTAACCCTTTGCGAACGCGTATCAGCAAATGGTCGTCCGAGCCATGCAAGACCGCCAGATGATTTTATCCGCAAAGAGTTAATATCAACATAATGTGGATTTAACATGATAAATTTTAAATCTATACTATATGATGATGTTGATATAACATACATTGATATAACTAGGGGTTATAAATCCACACCATGTTGATTTTAATATATTAACATCAAGGAGATTGTGTGTGTAAAGACATAAAACACATATATTAATATTTACGCTTTAAACAAACTACATACATGTGAAAGTTGTGTTCACACACATAACATTCTGTTTTTATTGAACAACACATTTTTATAAATTATTTATTTTATTTGATATTAGTTTTATTGTTATAAATAAAAATTTTTTAAATAATAACAAAAATCTAAATTTTTTTATATAAATATATTAAGTACTAAACATGACTTATGCAAAGTTTCATTGAGATTCACCAATTAGTTTATAACAAATAAATATTTTGTTTATTTACTGAACAACTATAATGTCTGCATCTCAATGTAACTTTATATAACATAAATATATTCTTGAATTTATAAAGTATTTATATAAAAAAATTGAGATTTTTATCATTATTTTATAATACATTTTTATATATTTCTATTAGAGTACAAATTAAAAAAAATATTACTATTTATTGAAATAACTTTTGATCCAGATGGTCCACTGTCTCTAATTTTTTTATATTACTTTTAAATACAATTTAGAATAATCTGTAATTTTTTCAAGTAATTTTTAACATATTGCATTTGCCTTACAACCACCTTAATACGGTGAGAATTATATGTATAGACTATACACCCGCATGGTGTTAAATTCACACTGATATTTTTTAGTGCAGATATATTTTAGATATATATATTTTAGGGTGCACGAAACTTTCAAGTCGATTAATAGGATAGTATGGGCTCGCGAGTATGGTATCGCAACGCAAATCTTCGTGTACTTTAGATCTTATATTTTCTGCCCTTTCGTCGTCGTATATAAGTGTCCTATATTTTTCGCGCCCTTCTCTCCGTTTTACATATATAGATTTCGCGTGACATCCGTTAATACCAAATTCCTGAAATCATTTCAAGACGAAAATCCTAATACTAAAATGTCGAGGCTATAATAGTTATTAAATAAGAAAGGTTTAAAAATAGCCAATTGAACTGTCCAAAATTCCCACGCTCAGGCATGGCATTACACAATAGTGAAGACGTTTTCAAGCATCAATTTCATTTTTTCTATTCTTCTGAACACCTTTATTACTATACATACAATGTGCCTAAGCGTGCAAATTTTGGGCAGTTTAATTGGCTAATTTTAAAACTCTTTTATTTAAAAACTATTGTAGCCCCAACTTTTTGATATAAGGATTTTCGTCTTGAAATGATTTCAGCTATTAATTTGCTATTAACGGATATCAAAAAAAGTCTGGAATACCCTGTGTATATATTTTATTTTATAAATCTGTTTAATAATTATGTACGTCATCTCTCAGACGAGCTACATTTTCTAATTTATTTTATTTATTCTATTTATTTTGTTTCCTTCGATATTCCTTTTCATTCTTTTTCTTTCTGAATCTGAAAGAAACCTCCTCAACTGAGATACAATTGTAAGTTTTCTTTGTAAGCTTCGGAAGAAAAGTGGAACAAGGGACGTTTGGTGATTGACGTACGTCTATAAGATCGTTAATGTCCTACGCGGCAATGTTTAAAGATGATACGTAAACGTAGATACGTGTAGAGACCTTTCGATCGCATATAAAAGACACCAGAGCGTTAGTTATACAAACCACGGTCAGTAGATGTGCTTCGCGAATACATTTTTTATGAAATCGTCAAGCTCGCTGAAGCTTTAAACTCTACGTTCTTAGAACTTTTACACAAATGTTTGCAGATGCCGTATCTAATTTCGCTAGGTTTCTGACTTTAAAACGTGCTTAAAATGGATTTTGTCATTGTGTGATCTTATCGCAGCTATCGTAATGCTTGATTAACGCTAAAATGCAAGAATCGCAATTTTAATCCCTACTGAAAAAAACCACCTCACAAAGTTACATAACGAAATCATGTAATTAAGATAAGTAAATTACATAACGGATTATTTCAAATCAGCACGCGATTTTTTAAAATTACGTAATTTGAAAAGTCACACGATAATGTTTTTTTTTTCTTCTATTTCTATCATTTAATTCTTTAAAATTCGATAACTATAAAATCACATGGTGGATGAAATTATTTCTAATATCATGTGATTTTTCAAATTACATAATTTAAAAAATCACATACTGATTTAGAACAATCCGTTACGTGATTTACTTATTGTCTTAATTACATGATTTCGTTATGTAACTTTATAACGCTTTTTTTCAGTAGAGATATGTGTTCAATGAGGTGGTCTTTTATTGCGAGACACGTCATGACATATCGATTGTCCTTGACAGAAATATTTACGTGTTTGATACTATTGATTATATAGTCATAACTATAAAATAATTTATTCAACTATATATATGTACATTAAATCTACATAAAAAACTTTTAAAGTTGTTAGTTATATAGTTAGCATCAGTGTTGTGCTGTACCTAGATACAAGCACCATAGGTGTATACTGTAACTAGGTACAAATTTTCGTACCTAGAACTGTATCGCGAGGTACTTTTTCTTTCTGGTACCTATATCTATACCTAGATTCTATTTCTTATGTATCGATACCTATGGTATATTTAGTTACTTTTTGGATGATACTTTCTTGTATTAAGCCAGTTATTATTAAAAATCATAAACGTGTCGATCTTCATTTTTTAGGTCATCAGATAATTTAGATATATGTATATTGTTTTGTGATTGCTATTTGAACTTTATTTAATTTGACACTAAAAACCGTTACCTAAATTGTACTAATGATGATCTAAAAAATTAAATCGACATATTTACGATTTTTTTTTACATTATCATTCTAAAAATATTATTTACACATTCAGTTTACTATGTTGGCTCTTTGTACAGATTTTATATTATTAATTTATTTAATTTGTTCCAGCATTTCATTTCATCGTATCATTTTTTAATAATTAATAAATGTCAATATATAGGTTATTCGAATAAAATTAATGGCTTTATAAAGTATTACTTCATTTTATTTTATATGTTAAACTTACTTGCATAGAATATTTATGCATGTGTATATAAAATATACGTATAATAAATGAATATTACGCGCAGATACATGAAATACATAGATCATACCTAACAAGCAAGCTGTCTTTATTTTGACGTCATTTTATTGTCAAAATGCAATTTATTCTGAAATTTTATCTTAAAAATAAAAATACCTGAACCTAGGTACTTTTAAGGTACATTTAAGGTACCTGTACCTAGGTATTTTACTTTTCTAGTACCTGTACCTGTACCTCGGTATATTTTTTCCAGAGTATCTGTACTTATATCTAGGTATTAAAAATAGAATACCTTGCACAATACTGGTTGACATTATCATGTCTTTCTCTGAGTACATATAAAATTGCAAGATTTATGTTTTTAACATGTATCTGATGGAGTGATCTCACCTTGAAATACATCACAATATTCACAGCATATCGATTATCCTTGACAAAGATATATGTATTATATGTATTTGATTTACATGAAATCGCAAAAATCGTAATTGTCTTAAAGTGAACTTTGTCATTCTGCAATCTTTATTATCGATGCTTGACCTTCGCGAAAATTTACGTTTTTAATAGGTCCAAGGTGAGTTTTGTAAGATCTCGTCGCAGAAATATATTTATGAGTATTACATGGAGTACCTCGCGCGTACCTATAACTACTCGTGTAGTCAAAAATTGGATGTAATGCTTTCTAATATATAATATTGTATTTGTGAAAAAAATATTTGTCTTAGGAATAAGAGCTTAGGAATAAATAGACGTTATTGTTCATCAATTATGCATTACCTTCGTGACAAAGAACTAAGATTTCAAAACATACTTATTCGCAATGTGGTATGGTATCACAGATATTCTAAATGGCAGAGCCATAATCGCTTTTTTAATACTATTTTATATACAAGATGTCCCAAAATTCGCAACTCAAAATACTATAACAAGAAAATTTTCAAAAAATTAAGTAAAAAAAGTTATTTGTAAATTTTTATTTTAAACAATAATTGCGGAAATATAAGATAGTTACGCTAAACAACAGTACGCTAAACAAAGTACATTCGATAACTATGGCCGGAATCCATAATCCGTTTTCAAGCAAGATCTTAAGATGCTAATACGGCTCTCTGATTGGTTCATGCACTAGCTTAAGATCATCTCAAATCTTGAGCAACGTCTATGGATTCCGCCCTATATTATTAGGCTTTTTTCTCAAAGTTCTTAACAACCTATAAGAAATTACTCAATCAAAGCATTTGTACCTCTTATAGATCGTACAAACTCCGTCTAAACTTCGAAATTTAGACATTATTTAAAAGAAATAATTTAGAAATTATTTCTTCCTTATATAATGCAGTAGCTCCTATAAATAAAGACATTATTTGCTTTTCTTATTTATCTCTTTTATATACTGCAAAATACCGCCGATAAATAATGCACAAGCCTGATGATGCCATGTGGATAGAGAAAGAAAGAAAGAGAGAGAGAGAGAAAGAATTCATCGTTTTAGAGTATGAAGAATTCTTATTGATTCTACTAAAGACACAAACGAGAACTTTCGAATATCGCAAGAAGCATGGGAGCTGCATTTTATCGAACGCCGTTTGGCACTGCGACAAAATCAGCACTATGCAGAACAAACATAACGTACATAGATCTTTGTTAAAATTCCGCAAATTCCTCCTGTGTATGTACGTATTTCTCCCCCAAGTGTTTATCCTGCATTACGCCAATTTACGCCGCCATTGGATTCGTCAATAAACAATTCATAATTTTTGAATAATCTCAACTGTTATATCGTCGTTGAATGCATATAATTCAATTGCAGTAGTTTGAAATTAGATAATTCCGACGATGTCCGAACGCTTTGATTTCAAAATGTATCTCGCAGAATCTTCTCTTACAAAAATCCAATTTAATACTTTTTAATTTATGCCAATTTAATTAATGCTGAAAGATAATGATTAATTACTTATTTCTCAAGTAACACAGCAGCGCTGGCAAAGCGCTAAAAAAGCGATTATACGCGCTTTTTTAGCGCTTTGTTAACGCTTTATAAGCGCTATGTGCTACTTGGGTTTGAGTACTAAAACACCGAATATAAGAGTGTTTTTAATATTCAAAATAAACAATTAATCACTATCTTGCAATATGAAATTTCTTTTAAGAGTCGTCATTTATGCGCTGTCACCAATCGATGTTCAATTAGCCGCGTGAAAAAATTGTGTTCGTCCAGATATAACATGGTTTTTACTTTTGTTGCAAATCCATGGGAGCTTGCGAAGCATCGCGCGGTTTGAGAAACGCTGCTCCATAACCACCTTAATCACCCAAGCGTAAATCTCCGGTAATTAATACCGCTTTGCTCTTCATTATGCTTGTGAGAACGTGAAAATGCGCAGGTTCTTAATAATCTGTAAGAAATTACACAACAAAGTTATTCGCATCTCTTACGCAACATAATTTTCGTTATGTTCCGCAAATCAATGTTCTTTCTAAAATTAAACGATTTATTTCGCTTCGATTGACCTCTTTGTTAGTTAAAGCTAACGGAATCATTCTTGACTCATCGATAGTTGAAATTTAAAAAAGTACGTGTCTCACACATACACACACACACACACACACACACGACGGAGGTGTTTACCGCTGACAGACTGGCGGAATTAAAATGATGTTTTTATTGAATGCTGACTAATAATCAAGTGATGCGCGTGCTCTCTCTATTCTTGGCGCAAGTATCGACATAAATATATAGACGGTAAAAGCCGTCGCAGTCTAGATATTTCTGTCAGCTCATCGAATCAAAGCTTTGAAGCCATGTGCCAGGGGCACGTGGTGTGCCATCGCCATCACAAGACCATTAACTATTAAATTATTGTATTCAGAACATCCATCGATCCATTATAATTATATCTGAATATCTTATACATGTATACATCATCGTACTCAGCAGATACTAACACAGTAACATAATTGTTAGTTTTAATTTTCCTCAACAATATAACTGTTACATATACGTGTTATATTACAGTTATATTATTGAGTGGGAAATTGTATGTTATGACAATTATACATATAATATATATTAAAAACAATTATATGTTATTGTTAGTTGTTAATAGGTAAGAGCCCTTAGGGGAAAGGAAGCGGTTATAGAATAAGTGCGGGGTTGTGTAGAATATCATGATATTATGATAATTATAGTTTACGCCTTTTAGAAGCAATCGAAAAAATTACTATTCCATAATTCCCTTTTTCTGCAAAAATTCAATATTTAATACTGGCCAATTTTATACTGGTAGTAATGAATTACTTACTTTCAATATTGAAAGCACTGAACAACAGAGACACTTGAAGTAAAATACTTAAAATAAATATATGTTATGAAAGTATCATTACCTTCTAATATTATAAATTTCTATAGTAAGGAATGATAATACCGCAGGGTAAAAGAGATTCGCGTTAACAGATATATTCTCTGTTGAAAATAGGAATAATCTCTTTTTTTTTTGTTATTTCTCTAATTTGCATGTGAATGCAGGGCGATCACGTGCCGGAACACGTGGGACCACCAGTGGCTTGCTGTTGCGTCAAGCTCGTTGATGTTCCGGAGATGGAGTACTTCGCGACGAACAACCAGGGTGAGGTGTGCGTCAAGGGTACTAACGTCTTTATGGGATATTACAAGGATCCGGAAAAAACTGCCGAGGTTATTGATGAACAGGGATGGCATCACACAGGAGACATCGGCATGTGGCAGCCTGTAATTACATTTATTACATTCTATAGCGATTATTAGCGATATATCTTTAAATCCTTATAAATAATATATATATTTTAGAAACGAAATCAGAGATAGCTGAGATTATTTTTTTAAATAATAATTAAGATAATTAAGATAGTGGAAAAATTAATAAATGAATAATAGATAATAGATAAATTATAAAAGATAATTAAGTTTACAAGTTAAAATAATTTTTTTTATATTTATGTATTGTCAATTGCTTTCAGAATGGAACGTTAAAAATAATCGACCGAAAGAAGCATATCTTCAAGCTATCGCAAGGGGAATATATCGTGCCGGAGAAGATCGAAAACATTTACATACGCAGCCAATATGTACAACAAGTATTCGTCCACGGAGAATCATTGAAATCTTGTATCATAGCAATAGTAGTACCAGACGTAGATGTAATTAAGTGTTGGGCGGTGGAGAATGGCATACCTGGTACACTGAGTGTTCTGTGCGTCAATCCAGAAGTAAAAAAACTAATCCTCGATGACATGTTAGCGTGGGGAAAAGAAGCTGGTCTGAAATCCTTTGAACAAGTATATTATCGTTCCTTATTTCTTTTTCTATCTTTTTTTCTTTTATTCAAAAAATTCAAACATCAAATTCCGTTTGATCTCATCTACATTCTTGGCTATAAGTATAAAGCACTTCCACAAATTGACGTCTTATTATATCTAACGAAAAATAAAAAAATTTAAAAACTATTATATTGAAAAGTAATATATATATATATATCTTTATAACAATTTTAATATTTTATTAGTTTTCCTTTGATTTTTATTATTACCTTTTCCAAGACAATGCAAGAAATTAAGAGTATTTTATACTTATGGCCAAGATTGTAGTTGAGTTTTGTGATAGATGAAAACGCATAAAAATCTTAAGTATTAAACCTGGAAGAGTCTGATAGTTTGAAAACCCTGATTATTTGCTTCGCAGGTAAAGGATATTTATCTCCATCCAGATCCGTTCTCGGTACAAAATGGGCTTTTAACACCAACGTTGAAATCGAAACGGCCTCAACTGAAAGCGTACTTTAAACCACAGATAGAGGATCTCTATCAACAATTGGACTGACCGGACTGAGCGATTGTGCTATCGCTTGTCTGCACCAGCACTGAACGCAAAAGAAAGACGTTCGATGGTAGAAATGGAAGCAAAGCGCCTTTCCTCGCCGCTGTTCTCTCACCGAAGTCACTATTGTCATCGAATATTCGCGCGTTAATCCTCGAGATACTTTTTATTATATTATCATTTTCACGGGTACATTAGGGACGCAGATGGAAAAAAAAGCACCATTTAAGCTAATTAAGGTAAATGATAACATAACAAGTAATAAAAGGAGTTATTATTAGGCGCGTTTAGTTTCTCTTTCTCTCAATTACAAGCGTCCTTGGATATTTTCGATAATGGATGTATTTACAATTCAATCCTTACCCACGCATACTTCAATAATGTACACAGTGAGTTATTTTCATGTAAGAGGCGAATTATAGAATGCATTTTTAACTGGTAGAGTCGCAGTGAACTCACCCGATTACGGCTCAGGTCAAAATTACAACAATTAGTACGTAGTTGTTAACTTGAACAGGTAATATTTCCTCCAATATTACCCTGAAGAGGTAATATTTCGATGCGTGTACCCGATAATCGGCGCACGCAACGTCGAAAACTTTGAATATTACTTAATAAATACATTTCTTGTTGAATATATTTTGTGGTTCGGAATATCTTTAAAAACTTGACCGCTGTTAACCGCTGATCAAGATTCTCGGATAACAAATTCAAACGGTTTTACGATCCTTTCCAAGGTACTTGAAAATAATGCATTTGTGATAATCATTCACTGCTTCAATATAATTTTAGTTAATTAACTTCGACGCGCAAAGTTAATTAACTTGGAGGAGAATCGTAAAATCGTTTTATAATTTACCTTACATGGGATGGGTCAATATTTTTTTATACAAGACTTTATATAACAATTAAACGGGGTCTTTTGTTCTTGTTTGGTGACATTCTGCCAGTTTTGCTAGAGATTACTGACTTTGTATAAGAGATCATGATTCAGTCATCTGATGTTTGTCAGGTTATTAAAAGAATAAACGTGTAGCAAAAACTGATGTCTTAAGGCAAAATGTGACAAACAAGTACAAGAAAGTTGGATAGACGATATAATACAGAATTACCTCGCAATTTGATAGAAATAACATTTTGAAGTCTCTGATAATAAATACAATTTCCAAACCACATCTGGTGGATCTGGCCGAAGAAAAAAATGTCTGTTCTCTTTAACTCTTAAAACTATAGTATATCACAATGCACACAACAATTATAAGCACTAACGCTACTCCTGCCAAAATAATTCTCTGTTGAAGGCTTCGAAAGATCATTCCCGACAATAATCGAGACCCTCGCCCCAACTCTGCATCTGTTTCGCGTAACTGAAACAAAAGACAACATTATGATTTCGTGCTCTTTTCTTTTTAAATACAATTTAACGTAGAAACTACGAGTTATGACATACAAGAAAACTTAAGCAATAAGATGTAAGCAGTAAAGCCAATGGCACACAGAAAAGTATAGTAAGACGTAAGCAGTAAGCAAATTAGCTAATCACAATAGAGAACATAAAGAATTGATCAATCACAGTCGAATATTCTCCTCATTCGTTTGTGACTGGTCAATTCTTATAATTACAACCACTTACAACTATTGAGTTTAAGACAATAATCTTACGTTCTCTATTGTGATTGACTGATTTATTGCTTACGTCTTAAGCTCATTCTATAATTATGTAAGTATAGTTGTAAGTGATTGTGGCTGTATTATAATTGATCAATCACAGTTGAATATTCTCCTCATATTCAACTATGATTAGTCAATTCTTACAACTACGTTTACGCAATTGTAGAATGGGCTTTGTTGCATTATGTTTTGTTATGAGTCACAGGCTTTATTGCCTTACGTTATTACCTCATGCTCTTTATTGCAATTGGCAGATTCGCTTACATTTTACCACCTTATGTTTTTCTGTGTGCTATGGGCTTTAATCTCTCCCGACAGTGTAAAGAACTTACTCTTCCTCTGCTCCGCTGTATCGTCTCTCGCTGTTCGTGAAGTTCCTTCAGCACCTGAGAACCGATCTCCTCACTCTCCAATGCCATACGATAACCATTCTGTAACGTTCGCCCTGATCGTTCTATTCTTTCAGAGGCATCCAATAGTCTTTTCCTTTGGTCTTCTGTTACGTTATTGTCCCAAGACTCCTCCACTGTGATTTCCGTAACATCCTCCTTTGGTTTCTTTGCTGTTTGAAATTCTTGCGTCAAGCGTTTCAGTTCCGCTCTGTGACTCTCTACGCGACCGCGTAAACGGTCGCGTGCTGTTCCGTTCATCCCACGAACCTCCAACTCCATTTGCTCCAGCTGCAAATTATAGATAATCTTTTTTATTTGAGATAAATATTTTATAATGGAGCATCCCAAATAAAGGCAAACGGAATAAAACATATCTTATAGGTATAATTGTTCCTAATTCTGTCAATCTTTTGTTATTTAGAATGTATAAATTCTAAATGTTATCTTAAACTGGTTGTTTCAATTAAAATCAAATCCTCAATCAATTTATTTTTATAATTTTTTAATATTTACTTTGAATATTTTTGTAAACAAATATAAATAAATTTAAAAATTTGCAAAATCCATTTAAAATTAAACGAAAAGTGAATTTTTGTTTATCTCTGAAATTAAAAAGTTGAAGGTTTTAAGATGTTTAGTGGATCGATTAAAAAAACAACTGCCTTATTTTAAGAAAAAATGGACTACCTGTAAATCGATCAAATTCATAAATAAAAATAAATGCAAAACGTCCAAAATAAGATTTTTACAAACTGCTAAAAAATCTTTCTAAATGATTTGTGCAAATCAAATTTTATTCATACTAATGTCCATTTCTACCAATGTAAAAAGATTAATTTTAATTTCGATTTTACTTACTTTTTATCTTCTAGATCTAAGAATTAAAAAAAGATGTAGAGTAAATTAAACCAAGATTAAAGTTAATGTACATTAATAGAAATTGGACTTAAATGTATTACCCTATTAAGCAAGCTGACCCATTAAACTTCTGAAGCTGATGCCAAAATTATTAACATAATTACTGATGTTGAGTTTGTAAAATACATTTAATTTATGTTAATTAAAAGGTACTAATTAATTTCAAGAAATCAAAATGACTCATAAAAAAGAATGGATAGCAATTATATTTTAATAAGTATGTATTTCAATAAATATAATTTAAATTTGATATAACATAAAAAAAATTGACTCGGTTTTCAACACAGAAAAATTGAATAGGTCTAATCAATCCAATAGATTATAGTCAGCTCCAGAGAATTAACAATCAACATTCAATTAGATCTAATATTGAGCGGTTTATATACAGTGTCTTAGGATTTAAAGACAAGCTGAGGAGCATATTCTACAAGTGGAAATAAGATGTATGAAGTTTGGCTAGAAATGCTTTATTATAAAGATATAAATAAATATCAAATCAACATGAAATAAAAAACAATGGATTTTTTTATTGTACAGGATACGAAAGTATACATTTCATGTTGGAAAGATCAAACGTGTTTACCTCGTGTATATTCACATCATATTTAATATCTTTAAATGATTCAGTATCATTTCAACCTGTGCACAAATCAAGGCATGAATATGATATTTGATCAGCTGAGATAACAGCTTCGCTGGATATATTTCTGATGTGAAATAATAACAGCAATCAAATGCCACTAAAATGTTCCAATATTTGTTTACAACTTTGCAATAAAGCATAGCCATACTTTAAAGACCATTTTTTTTATTTCCATTTATAGAATATGCTCCTGCAGTTTGTCCGTTAAACTCCGAGATAGCTTATATATTCCGTAAAGTATCTCGATTTTTTCACAAGAACTGTGAACTGCATGGAATACAAAATGCAGAATGATTTTTCTAACCCTACATTACGACCAACCGATCGACAGTTGGTGAATCGAGAATCTAGCTCGTCACTCACAATCAGTCCATCACTTTAATTAAGAGAAGGGAGAGGGAATGCAAATTCAATTACCAGCTCCTGTGCCTCCTCGATTTGTCGGTCCACATCCTGGACGAAGGCTCTTTTCTCACCTGCAAATTACGTCACACATATCGATTATTTCCCTTTAACATTGACTTTGCGCGGCGGTTACGTGTCGGTCGAATTATTGTGCGAGACACGCGACGCATCTTTGATTGCCGCCTCGACGACGTTTCTTACCGCCACTCTGGATCCTGATCCGGCCAATCTTCGCAGTGATGTCAGCTGTCAGAACGGCGTACTGCTGCTCGTAGTTGTCAACGAGCGACGCCATCTTGGACACATGGATATGCCATTGATCACTGACTCAAGCCAGATGGTAATTCCGACCATGATTCCGACTGTGATGTGAACTAGAGACACTATAATAAGAGACTGGCATAGATGGGCTAATTTTTGATTGACTGGATATGGAATGACAGAAGCCAATCAAAAGTCGTGCTGGTAATAGATGATAGTACAGCCCGAATTTTGATCGACTTCTGCTTTCCTACTTTTTCTGCTTTTCCATCCTAGTTGCGAACGCGTCCTATGACTTATCGTCCTATGAACGCCATTTTCTATCCAATTAGAACTTATGTCAGTCTCTTAAGCCCAGTGTCCACGATGCTAGAAATCCGTCCGAGATCTCGGATGAAGAAAGAATTGACCAATCGCATTGATCATGTGACTAAATTGTTTAAATGTGATTGGTTAATTCTTTCTCTTTCCGAGATCTCGGACCAATTTCTAGCATCGTGGACACAAGGCTTTAGGCCGAAATCAGACTACGCATCGAATATTGAGATTGAAGATTGAAAGATTAAAATTTGACCAATCAAAACAATAGGAGCTAAAATTCCTTTGTTCTTACTGGTCAAATTTTAATCTTCAATCTTCAACCTCAATCTTCAATGCGTAGTCTGATTCCGGCCTTAAGCTGGTTCTACATTAGTCGCATCGCAGCGTCGCAAGCGTTGTGGTCCAATCAACGTCAAGCTAGCTCGACTCTGATTGGACTGCAACGCTTGCGACACGCTTGCGACGCTGCAATGCGATCAATGTAGAACCAGCTTAATACAGATATACAGCGCGCGTTCGCGAGCAACTTCATGGCGTGCCGCAGACCGGCTGTCGCCGCCGGCTGTCGCCACAATCGTCACTGATTAACACCGTTAACAGTCGAAATGAAGATGGCCGCCGAGGTAAGGTGGCTTTTCGTTTTCCTCGTGTCTTGCGGCGTGTCGTTGGGCCGCGGCGAGGCGCCGCATCGGAAATTTGAGTACAAATACTCCTTCAAGCCACCGTATCTCGCGCAGAAGGACGGCAGCGTACCGTTCTGGGAATACGGCGGAAGTAAGTAATCCCACACCGCGTTAAAGGGACATATAACCTAAACCGACACCTGTCGCGCCGACACGTCGTGCTCCGCAACCTTCCGTATGTTACTCCGGCGGCGCCGATTTGGACGCTGCAGCGGGATGACCCGCGGTTTTCTTGCATCCTCGAGCGATCGCCGTCTCACTCTCGATTCCACTGACGCACTTGCATAATTTCCCGCCGTACTGACTATCCTGAAAGCGATCAAAACACTGATGACGTTGACGTATACATCTTCTCGTTCGCACACACCGCAGAAATAAAGTAATGAATGACTGTTCATGAGGCACGGAATTGCAATAATCCTGCAGTCAATACGTCTAATTAGAGACTTCCGAGAGTTGCTAACGTTCAATGATTATTTCTTTCCTACTAATAGTTCAGTTGGATATCAGAATGAAGATTGTAGAAGTGAGAGAGAAATTATATTTAACAAATGATAAAAAAGTATTACTGGAAAATATGGAAAAAAATTCCTCTCTTGTGTAAAGAAGTATCTGGTAATAGCATTCTAAGGAAATATTTAATAGTAATGCTGAATGTTGCTGTATTATGTTGATTTTTATTAAACATATGTTTACTTGTCTCTTATGAAGATGTCAATTTTAATATTATTTTCTATCTGGTCTTAAATACAATATGTCTAAAGAAATATTTAATAGTAACATTATAAACGTTGCTGTATTATGTTGATTTTAATTGAACATACGTTTTTCTTGTCTCTTACAAAGATAGCAGTCTTAATAAAATATTTTCTATCTGTTTTCAAATATATCTAATATAAATATTACATGTATAACATAAATGTGTAATATAATCGTTTTCTTTTAAAAATACATTTATGTTTTAAATATTTAATAAAAATGATAAAAAAAGTATTAAACTCAGTTACTATACAAGGGTATGGCATACCTAGAATGTTTGAAAATTATATAACATTTGTAAAAACTGGAGAAATAAAGTACTGGATATAGGAAAAGAAAAAAAGTTATGTGTTCAACATATACTTTCCCTTATCTAGGATTGTTAGTTTGTGTAAAAAGGTGGTAACAATCATTCTTTTTCTATAAAAAAAATCATGCAATTTTACTTGTCAAATTAAATACTTGCACGGGAATATTTTAACACATGTTTTTAACTAAAATATATACCTTCAACAGTTCATTCCTTTAGTTTCTTTATTTTTATCTCTATATTAAGTACAATTAATAATTTTTTGAGAAAAATATTTTTCGTGATTTTTTTTGTGATAGTTTAAAAAAATGGACTCTTGTTCATTATTAAATATTTTTTGTAATTTACAATTTTCGGCAATTCTACTATTATATATTACAAGACTTTTTTAAATTTTCCAAAATGAAGATTTTTACACATTTATTGTAATCAGTGCATTGCCGAAAATTAGAGTAATTATTGTTACTTGAACATTGACAGGATATATTATACCCCTGTGCGGTAACGCTAGAAGTAAAAGTACGTGCGGTAACTGAAAATTAAAGTATAGTTGAAGATTCCTTTGTATAAAGAAATATCTGATAATAATGTTTTAAAGAAATATTTAATAGTAATGCTAAAAAACATTGCTGTATTATGTTTAATTGAACATATGTTTTATTTATTTCTTATAAAGATAATGTTATTTTTCATCTGATTTAAAATATAATATATCTAATATAAATATTACAGGTATAATATAAATGTAGTATATTCGTTTTCTTCTAAAAACACTTTTATGTTTTAAATTGCAGATGCCATTGCTAGTGCAGAAAATGTCAGAGTAGCACCGTCACTTAGAAGCCAAAAAGGTTTGTATGCAAATCTCACATATAAACATACCTTAAGCTAATACTTAAAGCTTTTTCACAGGGATAAATTCTTAAAAATAATTTTTATGAGGTTTATGTGTACGGAATATATAAATCTCAATTTTTCAAGTACATTATTGAATTGACGATTTGCAACAATTTTGCAAGAGATTTATGAAATATATTGTTTAGGTGCAATATGGGTGAAACAACCTACAATTTTTGATTGGTGGGAAGTAGAATTAGTATTCCGAATAAGCGGACGTGGAAGGATAGGAGCGGATGGTTTGGCATTCTGGTACACAAGCGATAAAGGATTCTACAATGGCTCCGTTTTCGGCAGTTCAGATCTTTGGACGGGTTTGGGAATTTTCTTTGACTCGTTCGATAATGACAATAAGCATAATAATCCGTATATCATGGCGATTGTCAATGATGGCACAAAGGCTTTTGATCACATAAAGTAAATTACATTCTTAACAACTTACATATGACTTGCACGTTCGAGCTAATTTTACATAATTTGTGTTTCATTTCATTCTTTAATAGTGACGGCTCTACGCAACAATTATCAGGCTGTTTGCGAGATTTCCGCAATAAACCATTTGCCACACGAGCGCGGATAGAGTATTATATGAATTCGTTAACTGTGAGTATACTGGAGATTTTTCTAATTACTTTTATCTTGACATTTCTCATTTGATTGGCCTCTTTTTCTATTCAAGCTGTTATTCCATAACGGTATGACGAATAATGAACAAGATTATGATATATGTTTCCGAGCTGACAACATTGTGTTACCGAAAAATGGATATTTTGGAATTTCTGCCGCTACTGGTATGCATATAAAAAATATTAATATAGTATATCGACGTAATTGCATATCGCATGTTTTCATGCATTTCTAATTATCTAGGTGGCCTGGCTGATGACCATGACATCTTATATTTTCTTACTACCTCTCTGCATCCTCCCGGACAGCTTCCAGTAGACGGGAGTAAAGTTTCTATAGAGGAACAAGTCAAACTCCAACAGGAATACTTAGACTACCAAAAAAAATTAGATGAACAAAAAGAGGAATACCAAAAGTAAGAAAATGCGATGTGCCAGTGTTTTTACAATACTAAATCTCTCAATATTGATATGTCATTCTAACAGGGAACATCCAGAAAGTCAAAAGGTGGAATATGATGAATATTTTGAAACGGAGAATCAAAGAGAATTACGGCAGATATTCCATGGACAAAGCCAGATGTTTGAAGTTTTACGCGATCTTCACAGGAAATTAGATGAGATTGTTGGAAGACAAGAGAGAGTTTTGGGTTTAGTATCTCAAATTGGACAAGGAGGTAAATCGCAATTACAGTTGATTAAATCTGAGATCACAAGTGTCACATAAATTATTTTTAAAAAGATTTTTCTTGTAAAAGCTTTATTCTAAATTTTTACATTATTATTTTATATTATTTTTTATGTATGAATTTGTAGTCTATTTTTTTTCAAAATGGGACAATTGCTTCTTGATTCATCCATTCTTGAAATCTTTATTTTTCCAATTAAAAAAAATATATATATATACAAAATTTCACCTTTCATTAACTTCGCTTTTAATCTTACATAAATTTTTAAAAAAGATTTAAATATATTTCATTTGTTTACAAAAATATTTAGGTTAAATATTAAAAAGTTATAAAAATAAATTTATTAAGGAGAAATTGATAATAATTAAAGAAATAAAATTAAGATAACATTTAGAATGTGTAACTTCTAAGTAGCAAAAAATTCTAATTTATATCAAGGCAATATCATATATCGTTTAATTTGATCTAAATGCATAATTAGGTGTGCAAGTTCCGGGCCAACCAGGACAGCAACCTGTGCTGATCGACACCATACGTCGACAGGAAGTCGAGGCTGTGTTGAATAATCAAAATGTAATATTGAATACAGCTAGGGAAATTAAATCTTTTATGGGAGAAGTTCATTCTAAGACTGAATCTATTCTTAATAATCAAGCACATGCTCCGACAGCGCAGGTTTTTATATTCTTTGTAATATCTAAAAACAACAGTCAAGTTTTCCAAAACTTTTCTGACATCAATAAATTTCATAGGTGCAGCCAATGGGATACGATTATCAGTCATTCATGACAGAGATGCGAGACGGGCTTAACACGTTAAAAAAGGATGTTAAAACTCCGGGAAATACAGATTGCCCTAATTGTTTAACGACTACCGTGTTCTTACTGTTCATTGCGGTACAGATGATAATATTATTGGTGTACAGTCTTTATCGGTAATTATATACAATTGCAATACCTTAACAATTATTCACGTACAAAAAGAAAGAGATATGTAATATTATTTTTTTCCATTTTATAGGGACAATAAGGAAGCACAGATGAAAAAACTCTATTAATGTATACACATCGTCCACATCGACAAATTTAAAATGCATTCTTGTTTGCATTATGATTCGATATTTTTATTACTCGTTATTCGTATCCGCGAAGTATGCGTGTTTCGACATTTGTAAAATAAATTGCTCATCTGCTAAATTGATGTGAAATTGTACAGCATCTGTCGGATATTGTCTCACGAGGTCACAAGGACATCTCGCGGTGATGTGACTCGCCATTTTAAGTATCTCCAGTTAAATATCCATCAAAAAAATCAATCTCCATCACAGTGCAATGTGTTTAACGCTGTGCAATCTATATTACAGTTGTCATATATTGACAAAATGCGCGCATGGGGTTTGGAAGAAATGATTTAAGTTGAAGGATACTTACGGATGAGTTAACCTGGGAGTTATTAAAGATGTCTCACGATCTTTTTTTGTATCGTTATATATAAATATATATAATATATATAGTTTTTTACTTGTCAATCATCGCAAAACATATTTATCGTTACGCACACATCGTTTTTGTGGATTCTTCATTTATAATCGCTGTATTATTGAAATCTCGTTGAAATCTCATTGCAGCTTTCTGTATAAATCTTTATACGATATTTTGTATCACGCATTTAGTACATGAATATACGGATTACTCTTTATTCTTAAGAACTGTCACTTCTTCGTCACACTTGAGGTCGTCGGAATTCCACTATGAATTGCGCCATTTGAAGCAAGGAGAGATTTATCACATGGCGTATATCTTTCAACACATTATGTAATAATAACGGTTTTGAATGTCGCCACTCAGCTATTCCATCGGAGATTACTGTTGTGGAAAGAATAAGCGTTTGTGTGTTCTACAATCTACTCTGTCGTGTAAACATGATTGTGTATAGTGAGACTACGTTTTTGAACGCCACACGATAAAAGACCTCTGAGTAATGTATGTACGTGTGTAAGGTGCATGAGTAGAGTTACGATAGCGTACGGGAGCGAAATGGAGAGATCTCTAAGTTCGTTATTCCCCTGCGTCATTGCATTTGTAAAAGTTTATTGAATATTGTAGTTGTACGAGGGAAATATATCTGATATAAAGAATATAAGAAGGATGGAAAGTAAACAAAAATGGATTAATTAATGTTATAAACATTACGTGGATTTTTATCCCCTTATATACGTTTAATTTAATCCTTTATCATAGACTCAAAAAAAAAGACATAGTGATGATAATTATAAAGTATAAAGATAACTATATAAGTTTTATATGTAGAATCAATGTATGTGAGTGTGTATATACATATTTATGTATGTATGTATATATATATATATAGTTGGATAAACTGTTTTATAGTTATAAAATAGTTTCTTCAACTATATGTGTGTACATTAATAAATAATAAGTCTACATATAAAACTTGTATAGTTCCTCTAGTTGCTATTACTATGTTTTTCTGCGAGTGTAATTAATGCATTGATTAAATACAGTAGTATTAGCTTTAAGAAAAAATTAAAATTAATCATAATCTAATTCATTCTATCATTTTTTAAAATTTATTATAACATTATGGTAATTTAGTAATTACAATGATTATATTTTATGAGAAACTTAAGCGACCCGTGATTGTTTTCATTGATTTGAATTTACTATCGATATATCTCGCCCCACGATAATTATATCGATCATGGTTCACATTTTTCCTAATAGGTGTAGTGGTTTTGCATGCTCTTTCAGCCGTTCGTTTTACGGTAAGATAGTAATGTGACAAGTAATTTGATGTAATCGAAGAAATCCGATTGTTATAACAAAAATATATTGTAATTTACGATTAAATACCATATAATTTGGATCTAATCTTTTCAAACGACACTATATTTTCGCGATGTTAAGAGTTGATTTTGATTTTTCGCGAAGTACACATATGCTTCCTGCTTGATATTTCAAATTATAAATAAATAGTGATGTATTTTATTCTTTTTGGATTTATAGAGATTAATTGTAATTTCAACTATTAATAAGTTGCTATTGATAAGTTTGTTTCTTTTCTTTTACGCATTTTGCACGTGAAACATGGAATCATAACCTTATATAACCTCTTAGTTACAGTGTATACAAGTATAAAATAATTAGACCTGTTCTTTTTAGTTAAACTTTATACATCTTTCTTCTTTTTCTCTCCACTTTAGAGAAAAAAATAAATTAACGGTTCAAGTTAAAAAAAATATATATTGTATCTAATTTCTAGATATACTTAATTGCCTATATAGACCTTATTTATTTAGTAATTAAATCTAACTGTACTTCTATTTTTATAGATGGTGGACACAAAAGCTCAAACTCCTGAGAAGAAGGCTACAGCTGCTCCAGCTGCAGCCAAAGAAGATGCAAAGAGCAAGGGAAAGCCTGCGAAAGGAAAGCCTGCGAGGGGAAAGCCAAGGAATTATGACTTAGGAAATGGTGTCTACAGGTTTAGCCGTACTCGTATGTTCCACAAAAAGGCTATCTATAAATTTCTTGAGAAGAAGACTCCAAAAAAGGTAAGCAGTTACTTATTAATTGAAAAATATATACAAATATAAAGTACATTGGATAATTAATATTTTTCAAAATTATAAATTAAACATTAGACTAGGAATGTACGATCTTGATTCATTTCACTAAAAAATTGATCTCTGCTCTAAAAAGATCATTTTTCTTAATAACTTCGCCAAAGCCTGTTTTTGAGGCAGATTGAGTTATTTAATAAGAGATTAGTCTTTAATTTCTTCAATAGGAGTTGCATACATTTTTAAAAGCCACAACAGTTGAGATACTTACTCCTTTATGAAACATACTGTAGTAATTAGTAACTAAAAACGTTTAGTTCAAGATGTTTATATTATGTATATTATAAATTTTTATAATATTGTATCAATATTTGTGTCTTGTTTTCTGAACGTAATAATTTAGTCGAAATTTTGGCCATTGCAGAAGTGAATTTAGGAATCCAGGATATATTATTTTATTCCTGTTGCTCACCGAATGTGAAATAAGGATAAAATGATATCTGTATCCCTATTCCGTAATTGTTAAAGACAGTTTGGTATCATTATATTGTTGCACAACTTTTTTATCATATATAATTATGCAACAGCAATATAATGATATCGACACTACTGTTAAGAGTTACAGAATCGGGATACTGAATGCACTCGGATAAAGTTTCCGAACGCCAATTAGTAGAACGCCCTGCTCTGTTAGTTGGCGATTGTCATATTAATTTTTTAATAATGGCGTGCTGTGTGCTGTGTCTTTCATTTACATGTCACAATTAATAAGCATCTTAAAACACTTAAAGAACTTCTTGTAAAAAATATCTCAGCCAAGTTTGAATCTGGGACTCCTGATTCTTTCCAAAATTATTTGAGTGCAGTGATCAATCAATTACCAAATCATAATTGATCAAGAATATTTTATATCACATTTCCAAATAATCAAATATAAATTTGACTCATATTGTTGTATTATTGTAGGTCAAGCCCAAGAAACCATTGACTATCGAAAAGCAGATCGGTGGTGACAAAAACGGAGAAAAGCGTATCGTGCTTTTAAAGAAAAGACGCGCAAATTATCCTACTGCTGATCGAGTTACTGTGCACCACGCAAAAAAATGTTTCCATGAACATCGTCGTTACTTGAGACCTACTCTGACACCAGGAACAATCTGTATCCTGTTGGCTGGTCCTCATAAAGGAAAGAGAGTAGTCTATCTGAAGCAATTAAAGAGTGGCTTGCTTTTGATTACTGGTATGTTTATCATTGAATTTTACGTTTTGCGATAGATATTTTATTATGAAATTAAAACGAGACTTATAATTTAACATTATTAACAAATTATCGTAGGACCATTCCTGATCAATGCTTGTCCTTTGCGAAGAGTTAGTCAAAATTATGTGATCGCTACCTCCTCGAAATTGAATATCAAAGGCATCAAATTGCCTGGACAACTTAATGATGATTATTTCAAAAGAAAACGTGACAAGCGCGCCAAAAAAGAGGAAGGTGACATCTTCAGTAAAAAGAAGGAAGAATATAAACCGAGCGATCAAAGAAAGTCTGACCAGAAAGTAGTTGACAAAATGGTGATTGACGCTATTAAGAAACATCCAGATAAGAAGTTGCTGTTCACATATCTGTCGGCAATGTTTGGATTACGAAGCAGTCAGTATCCACACAGAATGAAATTTTAATTCTCTGTGCTTATAATTCGAAATTTTCAAGGAAATAAATATAAAATGATAAATCTACCTTTTTTATATATTACTCTCTTTTGTCCTTTATTACTTATCTTAAATTTATGTGTAGAATGTCTGAGAATGTAGAATGTCAGCAAGGCTGGATATAATATGTATTTGAAATATTTTTAATTGAAAAACAGTATGTAAAATAATTGTATTTCAGTGTAGCACATGTTTTGTAGTTTGTATTTTATGGGAGCATATAAAAGTATATTTTGTATTTCAAATATTAAGGTTATCAATCTATTATATATATATATAATTTGAGAATTACAAAATACATGAAACTTTAATCTTTCGATTTTTAATACAAAATATGTAATACTTTCATGTGCACCGTTGAAGTGCAAAGTATAAAATACACTTATATTGCAAAAAGTATGGTTAGAAAGGAATTTCAAAAACATGTCTGGATAATAGATTTAAACTTCTTTTTAAAACGGGTTAAATAGAAAAGTTCTCTAGTTTTGCGATTTTCGCAGTAAGTAATGAAAACAAAAATTTGTGAATAAATAGGAGTATTAATTTTCTTGATTCTTGATTTTCGTGATTTCTCAAGTTTCGAAATCTTGCAATCGTAATTATTGCAAATTCTTGTAATTTTAGATAATGCTACTCCTTGCTGATTATCGATTTTACATAGGCTTGCAAAACGGAGGGAGAGAGGATCGAGTTCTTTTTTTAAGATATACTAGTGGTTTTCTATATGCATTTTTCTATATGCTAAATCTAGATGTGGCAACAGAATTTGCGTAGCACATCAAATTTTCAAGATCCATTTCAAAATCCATTTTGAATCGATAGCGTACGATATTTTTACGCCGAGAAATATTTTTACATCTGATGGTAGGAAGTGCACACCCAGAGAAAAGTTTCTTCGATTCAAAGAACGGTTAAAGAAAAAATTTCTTTTATTTGATTTAAAAAAAATGTTTAAATTAAAGAAATGACGTTCAAATCAAAGAAATTTTTTCTTTAACCGTACAGCAAAGAAATGTTTCTTTGAATCGGAGAAACCTTTCTCAGAGTGCAGTTATATGACCATGATTAATGTCATTCTTTAAAATTATATCCCTACTCTGTTAATATACACCGATTTTATCTTAACTTAATTGAAATATAGCGATTTTTTGGTATTTGACGCCTTTCTGACCATTCTATCATATTAGATGTGGTCAATCGGTTTTTTTTTTACAGATATTTAGGGTTAGCCTATGGTCTATGTCTTAAAAATCATACGATTAGATGTATTCTAAGATAAAATGAAAATTCAGCTCACAAAAAACTATGATTACAAGAGAAAATTTTCAGCATTTGATGTATGTACTGTGTTTGTGCCATTTAATTCCATGGTTTAAAAATACTTTAATTTCAATCAGGTATATCTCGGCTTAAAAATATCGTTATTGATTTAAAATGGATTTTGAAAGGAAAGAATAATTCTTTTTACATTAGTGTACAATATTTTGATGAAGCTTTGGTGATTTTTTAATACAGCATGAGAGTAGTTAAAAACGTCACTTTTTACATAAAACCCAATTTATTTCAAAAATTGACGTACTACGCAAATTCTGCGGCCACATTCGAATTCAGAGCGCTAAAATACATGTATAGGAAACCGCTAATATATTTTGAAAAAAAAACCTTGCAGGCATGTTTTCGAGACTTAATTTTTGCAATGTGAAATCCCGATTTCTTGAAAATATATATAATCAATTTTTGAAATTTTAGTGCAGTCTCTCTTTGATGATATTTTCTTAATATTTTATCAATTTTTACAATTTAAATTTTTGTGTTGAAAAATTTTTAAATTAAAAATTCAAGGAGTTATAAT